ATATATAGAAAAATATAGCATAGAAATAAATATAAGTAATATAAATAAAAGTAAGTATAGTATAAAAAGTATTACATAAAATAGTAGAAAAAAAAACATTATATAATAAAAAAATAGTGTTAAAAAAGTTAAAAAAATATATAGTAAAGAAAACATAGTAGATAAAAAAGCTATCTCCCTGCAACTGCTGCAGGTTAGGCCTTGTTTGTCTTAATTAGGCATTGCGCTGGATCTAACCCCCTTTTCGCTCCTCTTTTTAGCCTAGATTAGTGGACTTGACCATGGCGCTACCTATTACAGTATAGCGTATAATTGCTCCTTTGTGTGAAAGATAGCTGCTTCCTCTCTTGTTCCCCTAGCTATTGCTAAGACGCAGGTGCGAATGTAAAGAGTAAGAGGAACCTATCTAGAGCGCATCTTTTTTAACAATATCTACTGCAATGCCTATCTCCCTGCGACTGCTGCGGATCAGGCCTTGTTCGTCTCGATTGGGCATCGCGCTGGATCCGACCCCCTTTTCGCTCCTCTTTTTGGCCTAGATCGGCGGACTTGACCATGGCGCCACCTATTACGGTATCTGATATATGGCCACGGATCGCTAACAACTAGAATCTGTCAAACAGAACCCCTAGAATCTGTCCCCTATCCTGTGCCTAGATCCTATTATAATAGTAGGCAAACTTTTAGGCTTTAACCTAAACTTGCCCCCGCTAGTGTTTTTTTTGCAAAAATGTACAGATGTGGTGGTGTTTTGCTGCAACTTTAACTGCGCGGTGGATTTTGATTTTCCTGCGCGCGCAGGCATCGCGCGCGCATTGCCGCACCAGCTACCAGCGCCCCGCCTGCAGACTACCACCTAACCTAGCGACTATAACAACAACTATGACTAACAACACAGCTCTCTACTTCCTAGCTGTGCTTATGGCATTAATTCTCTAGCGCAGCGACAGCGCTGTTAATTTTATTATTCCTTTTGCTAGGAAACGTGCGCAGGCTCTGCAGTTCGCACCCTAGCGACAAGCCTGCGCCTGTAGACTATAACAATAAAACCACAACAACTACAATAATTACTAACATAATAGGTTTCTCTACCTTCTAGCTGTGCCTAGGACATTAATACCTTAACCTAGCAACTACGCAGTAGATTTTGATTTTCCTTTGCAGCAACGCGCGCAGACTCTGCAGTTCGCACAGCAGCTACTAGCCCCGGCTGTCGACCACGACTTTAACTACCACCACCGCAACAGGTTTCCCCACTTCCTAGCTCTGCTTAGGGCATTAACGCTTTAGCCTAGCAACTGTTAATTATAAGTTTTCCTTTGCAGGGATGTGCGCACTAGCTCTGCTATTAGCACAGCAGCTACTAGCCCTGACTGTTGACCACGACTTTAACTACCACTATCACCGCAACTATGACTACTACTACCACCACTACTACTACTAACGCAACAGGTTTCCCTACTTTCTAGCTCTGCTTAGGGCATTAACACTTTAGCCTAGCAACTGTTAATTGTAAGTTTTCCTTTGCAGGGATGCGCGCACTAGCTCTGCCATTAGCGCGGCAGCTACTAGCCCTGACTGTCGACCACGACTTTAACTACCACCATCACCGTAACTACAACTACCACCACCACCACCACTACTAACGCAACAGGTTTCCCTACTTCCTAGCTCTGCTTAGGGCATTAACGCTCTAGCCTAGCTACTGTGCATTTAATTATAAGTTTTCCTTTGTAGGATGCGCGCACTGCTATTAGCGCAGCAGCTACTAGCCTAGACTGTTAACTACAACTTTAACTACTACTATTACTGCAACTACAACTACTACTACTACTAACGCAATAGGTTTCTCTACTTCTTAGTTATGCTTAGGGCATTAACGCTTTAGCCTAGTAACTGTGCAGTTAATTGTAGGTTTTCCTTTGCAAGGATGCGCGCACTAGCTCTGCTGTTAGCGCAGCAGCTACTAGCCCTGGCTGTTAACCACGACTGCAACTACTGTCACACGTGTCTCACGCGATATTATACCCATGTACTGCACTATTTACTCATTAGGCATAGCTCCTCTTTTGTACAGTATATAGTTAGCCTAGAGCTCTATTAAGCTCCTTAGACCTTATAATACACTTGTTTAATCTACTTTATTTAGATCTTGCTCTCTTGTTAAGTTGTTTGCTATATGCCCTCTTCTTAGCTTATGCAAGACTAGCAGTAATAACAGCAACATTACTACTTAATAACACTAACATCACTCTATCTAGTAGTATCTACTGCCGCAGGACAAAGGTAGACATAATAAAGGACGCACGCAAGCTCTTCTGCTAGAAGGGCTGGTAAAAGGAGCTAGCGTTAGCGTTGTAGGAAGCCTTAGGTGACCCTAGCAGCAAAAGGGTTAAGCTAGAGGACGCGCTGCTTAACATGCTAGTGTTATTTATCTTTAAGCTAGTAAGTAATTAGCTGTTTAGTAGCAGGTTTGTCTACTTTCTAGCTGTACTTAGCATTAATGCCACAGCCTAGCGACTGCGCAGGGCAAAACACTACTTATACATGCTTGCTGGCGTAGCATACTGCATACACGTGTTAGGCGTTAAGAAGCTGCTTTTGTTAGCTAAGCGTAGTAAGCAGACTAACAAGGACTGTAAGCGCTTTTTAGCTAAGAGACTAAAGTATCTAGCTAATAGTTTATATAGTTTAATAAGCTAAGTAATTAGCTTACTAGCGTATAGAAAGCATGTTGCGTTAACAGACAGCAACTTAGGCAGCGTGTACTAGTCTAAGGACAAGAAGATCTTCTACTTAAACAGCTAACCTATCTACATTAGCTAGTTCTGCAAGATGGCTTAGGACATAGTAGTTAAAGTAGAGAAGATGTTATAGCAGGAGCTAATATAGCTTAAAGAGGCTAAAGAGCAGTTTTCTATTAATCTAGCGCACGTAGTGGACAAAGTCACTTTTACGCAGCAAGGCTAGTAGTTTGCAGAGCAGCGCGAGAACAGTCTAGCAGACAAGCTATACTAGATGCTAACCTAGGTTAAGCAGAGTGCGCAAGGCTGTAGGCTAAAGCATTATAGAAAGTAGCATATTAAGCAAGTTAAGTAGTACTTATGTTAAGTTAACTGCTTTTTAACGCTGCTCTTAGTGTGCGTGCACATGACGTCTAGACAGCTGGGTTAAGGGCTAGAGATCTTGTTAATAAGGTTTTGTAACAGGCTGCTGCAGGACTGCAATATCTTTGTAGCAGACAGCTAAATTATAACTGTTGTCTGCTATTACAAGTCTTAGTTGCAGTGGGATAGACTAAAGGTGGTTCCGCGTTTTCTTCTGCTGCGGCTAGGGCAGGTTATGGCCATCTACTTAGTATACTTGTGGCTATTCTAGGAGTATCTCTAGGTGCAGGTGCTTAGCAAAGGACGCATTAACTACATCTAAGCAAATAAGTAAGGGCTGTAGTTAACAGACTATCTAACATAGGCGCTAAAGTAAAAGACAGGCAAAAGACTAGGCGTTAAGCTACACACACAGGACTACTAGCACACAGCTGTTAGCATTAGGTAAGTTGCAGTTAAGCACTTGTTTAGTAAAGAGTATTAGGATAATGTTAAGGAGATTAAAGAAGCTAAGGTAGACAAAGAAAGCAAGGACTTAGTAAAGCTATAAAACTTACAGACAATAGTTATAGGCTTAGTAAACTATAGTGTGCTAATTAACATTGTTAAGCATCTTAGCTTGCGCTTTATTAAGGCGTTTTAACCTCTTAGCATAATGTGGCACTGCTTCTTAGGACTTAATAGTAGGTTTAGAGTAGTGCAGCAAGAGGAGGAAGTAGAAAGGGGACGTAAGAAAAAGAAAAAGGAGAAGGAAAATAAAAGGGAATTAGGCTGTTATAGAACAAAGTAAACGCAAAAGTAAAACATTAGCAGTAAGAGCAAGAAGAAAGAGCTAGGACTACAGCCTTAGAGGATTTGCGTGCAAAACAATTAAGACAAAGCTATTAAGAAGGCAATGCAGCAGGTGGTTAGGCAACAGGAGATTAGCTTTTAGTCTGTGAAGCAAGAGCAGGCATTGCATGCTGTACTTAACAGTCAGACGCCGCTTGTGGTTATGCTTCTAACAGGCAGAGGCAAGAGCTTGCTGTTTACTGTGCTAGCGTGCATAGACAATGCTAGCGTTACTATAGTTATTGTTCTGTATTAAGAGCTTATTAACAACACAGTAGACTGTATGCAGAAGTGCGGAATTAACTGCATTAAGTAGAAGCATGGCGAGACTAACCTAGCTGCTGTAGTTGTGGTTAGCGCTAATGCTGCAGGCAATATCACAAGCAAAGGGAACTTCTTAGGGTACGCAACTATGCTAAGCACAAAGGGGATGCTGCGGCGGGTGGTAGTAGACAAGTGTCATCTTATCTTCACAGCGAGCCACTGGCGGCAGAAGCTGGCGAAACTGAAGAATCTGCGGTTGCTACTGTGCCTGATAGTACTGCTCACGGCGACGCTTCCGCCATCACGAGAGTGCGAACTGGAGGCTGGCATGCTGGTTCGGTGTGCAACGTACGTGCGCGCTAGCACTGTCTGGCCGAACACGCGATACTTTGTGTTGTGGTGTTAAGCTGGCAAGCTAGAGGAGACAGCGCTCGCGGTAGGCTCACGGCGGCAGTTGTCGTTGCTTGCGACAGGAGAGAAGGGCGTGGTGTACTGCCGCAGCAAGGAACAGTGTTAGAGGATAGCAGAAGAGCTTAGATGCGAATACTATTACGCTAACGTCCCTAATCGCGCTGAACAGGTAAAGCAGTGGCTTGGCTCTGGTGGGCTAATTGTGGCTACGTTAGCGTTAGGGACAGGGGTTGATTACCCCGGGGTGGTGTATATACTACACGTGGGGATGCCGTGGAGCATGATCGACTTCGCGCAAGAGAGCGGGCGTGGAGGGCGGGCCAGGGAGGAGGTTGACTTAGTTATTATTGTAGAGCGTAGATCTGTGGAACAGGAGATGCTTAAGCACAGCAACAACTTATGCGTGCAGGCCATGGGGTTGTTTTTAACAGGCCGCAGGTGCTGACGAGCGCTAATAAGCATGTACATAGACAGCAAGGCTGTGGCGTGCAACAACATTAAGTCTGCTAGATGTAACTAGTGTGGAGAGAGAGTCTGTAAGTTTAAGCGTTCACAGCGGGGGACAAGCACTAAGTAGCAACAGGTTTAAGAGATGATGGACAAGGTGCGGGCAGGATGCGCTATATGCTAGGTGCTAGACAACTTGGGGCGGGACAAGTGGCAGACACACAAGACAATGAAGTGTACAGCACAGGCAGGCGTGCATAGGGTTGACATAGACTATTTTTAAAAGGGTATACGCAACAACAGCATTAAGAACAGTTGTTAACGCTGCTCTGTTAGTTAGAGGTATTGCGCTACAGGCAGGGACGTTACAGCAAAGTGTTAATAGCCGAATGTAGTAGTACCGCTGGTACGAGCAGCTGCTGTTGGGGATGGCTGGGCAGTTGGGATTATCCAACAGTGCGGATACTGCGGAAAGCTAGGCGGAGACTAGAGAGAGTATGCAGCGTGGTTAGGGAAGCGGCATAGGTATTAGGTATAGGGCGAGTATTTTAGTAATATGTTTGTAGTAGCAATTAGACTTATTAGGTATAAACTAAAGTAGAATAGCTACTAATATAGTAACGTACCTAACGGGTTGGCCGGCCACACGGGTTGGCCGGCCACTTTTGCCAAGCCCCCACCAAACTCTACCTATCTACATAATGCCTTAACAACAACACTAGATTAAATCTTCTAAAGAACGTTAGATACAGCTTGCTCTTTAGGCTCTTAAACAAGACTTAAAACTCTCCTTGGAACGCGCTGCAGCTATCTATAATGTCTCTCACACAACACTAAGCAATTAACGCGCTGGACGGCCTTCACAAGCAGAATGCTGGCCTAAATCAAGGAATCTAACTAAGCTTAAGGAGGAGGTAGTTGTTAAGTACATACTTAAGCTTATTACGCGCGGATTTCCCCCTAGGCTCGCAGCTGTAGCTGATATGGCTAATTCCTTGCCCGCAGAGCGCAATCTAGGCCAGGTTAGCTTAAACTGGACCAGTATGTGGGTTAAGCACTGCCCTAAGTTCACAATAAAGTTTAATTGCAAGTACAATTACAAGAGAGCGCTCTGTGAGGATCTAGAGGTTATCTAGGGCTAGTTTCGCCTAGTAGCTAACATAAAAGCTAAGTACAGTATCTAGGATAAAGACAGGTATAACTTTGACAAGTTAGGCTTTATAATAGGCTAGATATTAACTAGAGCAGTTGTTACAGCTTTAGAGAGACAAGGACAGCCAAAGGCAATACAGCAAGGCAATAGGGAGTGGACAACAGTCATCTAGGGCATCAACGCGACAGGGTGGGCTATGAGATCACAGAGCTTTAAGCAGCAAATAAGGCTGCCACGCGACGTAGATCGCATAAAAGGAAGCAGATTTAGGCAGAAAGGACCTTAATAGTTAAGGATAGGGCTTGTCTAACTGCTCTAAAGGAGTTTAGAGCGCGTAGTGATAGGAAGAAGCTAAAGACGCAGGTGCGCGCTGAAGGAGGTAAGCCAAGTTAAAGGCGATGCAGGCGGTGCAATTAGACTGGGCATAACTTGCGTACGTGTAAGCAAGTAGCAGAAGTAGACTCTAAATAATATCTTGTGTTGTATTACTCTATACAGGGCCAAAGTGGGCTGTTTTGCGAGAGAATGGGGTGGTTTTAGTGGGGGCTTGGCAAAAGTGGCCGGCCAACCCGTGTGGCCGGCCAACCCGTTAGGTACGTTAATTATTTTCTTATATATACTAGCTATTTTTCTACTAATACAAGTTTCTTTAAATCTATGCTAGTAACTATAGTAAATAATAATAAATTATAATACTATTAACTAAAGTTTCTAAAACTATAATTAAATATAGTAAAGAGAAGAAAAAGAGAGTAAAAGAGAGTAAAAGAAAGTAATCTAAGCTTCTACAGAAGTTGCGTAAAGCGCTAGCTTTGTAATAGGGCGGATAACTCTCTTAGAATAAAGTGCTTGCTAAAACTTAGAGTTTATGTTAAGCTTAAGAAGAAGGAGGACAACTAGAGGGCGGGGTTAGAGGGGGGGGGGGGTATTCAGTATAAGTACCTGACTACAGGATACCTAAAGCGAAGGAGGGGGTACAGGGTAGTAGGTTAGTAGGCATTAGATTTAAACAAGTTAACAATTTAGGTTATAGCAGAGCAAGAGTTAGAAAGACTCTAATAAATCTTAAAGATTAACTATAATCTATAAAAGGTTATAAATTAGGCTAACTATATACTTCTAGGTAATCTATAGATTTGCTAAGTCTTAATCTATAAAGTAAATTCTAGAATATACAAGTAAATTATAATAGGCTATAGTAAATTAAAGCTAAATAAAGTAAACAATAGTAAATTACTATAAAGTAGAGTAAATACTAAAGAATTTAAATATATTATAATAGTATAACTATAGTAACTTTTACTTAGCTAGAGTAAATTAAGAAGATAGTAGTAGATTATAGTAGATTATAGTATAATATAGTAGATTATAGTATATTATAGTAAACTATAGTATATTTTAGTAAATTATAGTATATTATAGTAAACTAGAGTATATTATAGTAAAGTATTATACATTATAATAAAATATAATAAAATATAATAAAATGTTAAAAAATGTATAAAAATATAAAAAACTATTAAAATAATTATAAAATTTAAATTAAGTATAGCTATTAAAGTAAGTTAAAGTATAAAATAAAAAATATATATTAAAAAAAGCTATAAAATAAAATAAATATAAAATAAAAAAGTTATAGTATAAAAAAATAAAGTAAAAAGACAACTATAGGTATAAAATAAAGTGTAGTATAAAATAAATAAAAGTAAAAAAAAAATATAATAAAAAAATATAATAAAAAAATATTATAAAAAAATATTAAAAAAAAATATTATATAAAAATATTATATAAAAACAAGTATAGAGAAAGATAGAGTATAAAGAAATATATAGTATAAAAAAATAAATAGTATTAAAAAAGTTATAGATAAAAAAAATATTATAAAAAAAATTATAGTATATAAAATTATAGAAGAAAGTATAGTTTAAAAAAAAGTATAGTATAAATAAAAACATAGCATAGAAACATATAGCATAAAATACTACAACAGTTCATAAATGATCTGTAAAAGCAAAGCTTGCTTAGAGCAATAGTTAGTACAATAAGGTAGGTTATTTAGGTTAAAGAATAGTTATAGCATAATGCTTAGCAAATTAGTATTAGACAGGTAATAGACACATAATAACAATATTTAACTATAGCATGTAACTAATTACAGTCTGTAACTAAGCATAGCTAATACTAATCTCTAACACACTAATATAGCTAATGCTAATCTCTAACACACTAATATAGCTAATGCTAATCCTTAACACACTAATATAGCTAATGCTATTTCCTAACACACTAATATAGCTTAAAAAGTAGAATAAACATAACTAACTATAATTTAAATATATTTTATATAACATATACTAGAGTAAACTACATGTAAATTAATATAAAAATGTATGTATATTAAGTATACATTATTTTAAAAAAGAATATAAGAAATATATAAAGTAATAATAAATAGTGTTACTAAAGTTTATTTAAAAAATTATAACTAACTAGTGTGTTTTAAAAAAAAGATTTTACTTAACTTTATATTTTATAAACTTAAATATATTAAGTATAGTAAGTGTTACTAATAACTTACTTTATTTTTAGTAATACTATAAAGATAGTAAAATTATTACTTTTTATATTTTTTTTACTTATTACACTTTTTATAGCTATATAATATAGGTTATTTTACATTTTTAAAAAAGTATATAGGCGCTAAGCTAAAAACTTTATACATAGCTAAATTACTTATTATAATAGCTAGCTAATTTTTAGCTTTAATTAAGTTAGTAAAATTTATTTTTTAAAAACTAAAGGTTTATATAAATTTAAGATTAGTTATTTAGAAATTAGTTAATTATTAGCTGTAATTAAGAGAATATGTTTTAGCTCTAGCTTTTAACGCGTTTCTACTCTTATAATTATAACTAGGTTAGCATAGTTAACTACGTAGCCTTCTCTTGCTTATAGAGGTTTAGGCTAGGCTAGAGATAACTGCTAGTGCTAGTGCTTACCCTAGCATTACCTATATATATATTATACTATGTAAGAATACTTAGCTTAAGTATTCTTGTGTGTACTTTTTAGTACAGTAGGAAAAGTTGTATAGTATTAGCTTAGCAGGTAGAGTGCCTACTTTATTATAATAATAGTCTTTCTTTTCTTTGCACCTTACATTCTCTAGCGTTGCACCTGTTCCTTTTACTACCTAATACTGCTACACTATGCTTAATACTGCTACTTAATATCTTTAATTTAATTATTTTAGCATTAAAGCTTTAGTTATAGAGCAATAGCTTGTATAGTTTATTGCCTCTACAGGAATTTCTTAGAGTGCTAGGGAGCTCTAGCGCTGCTTTTACCTCTGCCTCTACCTCTCTATTAAGGCAAATATTAATGTAGTACATGTAATACCTTAATAAGCTGTTTTGTATGCATAACTGCTAGTTTAGCTTCTTTAACTGCTGTTTAAATATAATAGGCTAATGCTTAGAGGTGTTAGTAAGAGATTACCTAGTAGTGTTAGGAAGTGCATAAAGTAAATTGCAGCAAATTATAGCTAACTATAGCAAATTGCGGCAAACTATGGCAAATTGTAGCAAACTACAGCAAATTGCGGCAAACTATAGCGAACTAAAGCAAACTACAGCAAATTGCAGCAAACTACAGCAAATTGCAGCAAACTATAGCAAATTGCAGCAAACTACAGTAGATTACAGCAGCAGGCAACAATCCCTAGTAGATATTAGTTGTGTTGCAAGTAGCTCTACGTATAGAGAGGGTTCTAGGGGGGTAATGCCTCTAGAAAAAAAAGCCTTACAAAGGGTAGCAATAATTGCACATAAGCTAGT